TCATTTTCAGTTACAACAAAATTATTCGATGGAATGTGTATTCATGGAGGAAATGCTCGAAAATTATTATAATTTATATTCCTCCTGTACATATGGTACATCAAAGAAACCTTGGTATATTTCATTGAGAAAGACGGGCCGACCTCGTAAAGGTATTTATCATCAAAGTACTTGTCGTAAAGATACTTATCATTACTTATCACATGATCAAAATTCTTTTTTTCTTTCGTAAGATTTTATATATTTCATATTAAAAAAAAATTTCTTTCGTAAGATTTTATATTAAAAGATTGTTTATATATTACAATAAAAAAAATTCTGATGAAATAATTAAGAAATTTTAATTTCTGGTAAGCATAGCTAACACAAAAGAAGTTTTAAGTTGCAAAAGAAAAAAGTGGATTTTTTTTTTAAACTGTGTTTTGTTCTTATTTCCAATAGAAACAAAATGATTGTCATTCTTATTTGTTATTATTACAATTATCATTGTTATATGGTTATTATTATTATTGTTATTATCATTATTATTGTTTTAATGTTTTTATTGTTGTTATTATTACTGATTAATTATTATTTTTATTTTTACAATTTAGGAAACGACTTCCTAAAGAAAATGATGAGAATTGCTAGGATTCAAAAAGCTTAAAATGATGATCATTGATTTATAGCGTGTTTCTTGTTTTCCCATTTTGATTTGAAATTTTGGAATTACGATTTTGCAATTCCAAATTTTTATAATTATAAGCATTAGCTCGTTTTGTATGCTTTCGAATTAATGTATGACGTTAAAATTATTGCTTTCTTGATCTGCAATAATCATTGCCATTTTTATCACTCTACAAATTGTTATCTACAAAATGACATTTTTATTATAAAAAAATTAAATTAAAAACTATCATCATGGATAATACGATAAGAATCATCACAATAATAATCATTGATAATTATAGTTACAATGATAATAGTGATAATTGGTTTTATTCGTACAACACATTAAAACTTGTATTCTTTTTATCAAATATTTCACAATTTCGAAACTATTCAAAACTAAAACAGATTGAAATAATCATATGGCATTTTTACTATAAAAAAAATTAAATTAAAAAATGAAAGTTTATTTGAAAAATGAAAAGCACTGATTATATTATCATTATTACAAAAGCTTTTGAGCAAAATGTTTTATTGTTGCTTTTGCACTATCATTCAGATCCTCAATTAAGACTACAATTTATTGTTGAGTAATAATATTTCATTTATGGAATTTATCATCTTTTATTTGCATTCAAATTTCATTTCTTTATTTTTATTTTTGAATAAATATTAAATTTTTATTCATTTCTATACACGTCAATTCCAATGAATCTAAATTTTCCATTTTTTCAGGCAAATATTCTCGTAAACGTCGGAAATCATCACATTTTCTTGTTGTACATTTTGACGATGAAGCGGATAGTGGTAATTTTGATGGTTATTCATATTCCAATGATGATAATTCCATCCATTTTTCTAAACCACGAATTATCCAACCTAATCGTTTTGGTAAATCAATTTTTTTTTCTTTTTTTCTGCTGTTAGAGATAAATGTTATTTTAGACAAAAATTTCAGATTCAAATTATTTAATATACGCCAACTTATAAATGTCATTAAATTTTCAATTAACTATGAATTTTATTGATAATTAGCATTTAATTATATTCTTAATTCTATTTTTCAAACTTGAAACCTCTTACTAACTTTATCATCACAAAAAAAAAAAGTCGTAAAAAGTTATCAATAAATGCCAATAATATCAAAAAATATTTCAATCATTAATCATTTTATAGATTATCTAACGCACTATTCGAATGATCATGATAAGCCACCGCTTCCGAAAAGTTTGGATGATATTTTATCGGGTACACTGCAACAGCATCCTCCAAAGATACCGCTTACTAGGCAATATACCCCTATTGAAATGGCACGATGGGTCACAGTTCAACGACGTATAAATGGTGGAAATCGTAAAATGTCACGTGAAGAAATGCATGATATTCAAAAGTTAGTATTATAGCAATAATTCAACAATATTTATTTTATTGTTGTTAAGATAAAATAATGATAAATAAAAAAATATTAACTGATTTCTGAGAAATGTATAGTGCTCGAAGTTCATATTATAAACAATAATTATAAATCACAATTAATGTAACAATTGAACGATATGAAATATTGATTGATTTTTTATTGCCAAATTTGATGAAGCAATGAAAGATAGGAAATATTGATTGCATTTTTTTAAAATTAATTTCTGTAATAGGAAAAGACGAAGGAAGAGCCGATTGGAACGAGAGGAAATGCAACGACAACGACGACGACAAGAGCTTGAATTAAAACGTGCTAATGCATACAAGGAGCAATTATGGCAAAGTAAACAATAAGATTGAAAATTGATGAATACAAAAAAAAAAAAAAGAAAAAATGGTTAAAATTACGGTGTCTCTCAGACGAGAAAGAAAACAACAGGAGAAATTGGTAATATTTGTGGATGAAAGTTATCGCTTAGCGATAACGAGAGGAAAAAAAAAATGATAAGGTGCAGTGCAGCGTTACTACTACTATTATCATTATCATTATTATTTTTATCAGGTGCTTCGTTCTTTTTTTCTTTCTTTCTTCCTTCTCTCTTAAATTAATGATGAATGATATGAAATTTTCCTAATAAAGCAAGGTTAAAAAAGATAGTGCATTGATTTTATTTTTTTAATGCCTTAAATATCTTAATGATTATTTTGATCCATTACTGTTACCAAATTTTCTGTCCCAGATTTCGACAATTTCATCACATGAACCATTTCGCTATATCCTTTTTTCAAATTCAAATATTCAAAAATTTCTCACAATGACCAATTGTATAAAATACTTTCATATTTGAATGGAATGTTATTGCTAAAGTTAAAAAATGAAAACCTTCGAAACGTGTGAAAAAAGTTTTCTCTATTTTATTCCTGTTTTTTTTTTTTTCTTTCTTTGTTGAAATTTTAAAAAGAAAAAAAAAGACGCGAAAATTAGACTAATTCATTTGAAATTTGATATGTTAAAATAAATAAAAAAGCTTTCTAATTACTGGCTTTTTTTGTTAACTTATTACTAATTCCTTCCAGTTTTATAGGATGAAAATGTTTTTTTTTTTCCAATGAAATATCATTTATCAATAGCTATCACGGATGGGTGAAGAAAATGAAAATATAGCAACAAATAAGAAAAAGAGAGTGATAAATAAGAGGAATGAGAAATGTAATTGAAAAACTTTTTGTTTTTTCATATCTTAATATTTTATTCCTGCATACTGAAATATTAATCTTAGAAAGTCAAATAACTTGAAAGTTTGCAAAAAAACTTTTAAAATTTAAGATCCTATTAAAAACTGGTTTATTCTATTAGTACTCAAAAAATTAATTAATCATAACTACATACCATTCAAAATTTACACTTTCACAAAAGAATTAAGTAAAGCAAAATCCATTTTATTTTATTGTTGCATTCCATCACACATTGAAGTGTATCATTTACTTATTTATCCTTTCATATTCATTTTTGTTAATTTAATTGTTAATTTATAATTGCTAAAATTTTTCAGATTAATTAATATCAAGTTTCGAAGGTCTTGCACACATATATGTACGGTATTATTACCACTAATTAATATGCTTTAGCTGAAAATATGGCTTTACTAATGCACAGAAAATCTTTTTGAGACTATCAAAATAATACATAAGGTAATCAGTCTATCTTTATTCCCTCAATTGTAAATTTTATAGTATATACATAATTGATATTAACGAAGAAAAATAATTAGTTTTAATGGAATCTTCCAAA